GTAATTTGCATTTAATGTAATACCGAAGTGATGGTGTGGGAATGACCTTCAGTCGGATAGATGCGATGCGTACAGGAAAGGTTTCTGAAATGGACAATCTTGTGCTTTTTTTGTATCTCCTCATGTAAAATACGTTTTGTTTCCTTGCTTGTCATTTGTTGACACGTACGAAATCGGTGAACTTTGTGGTTCAGAACCCAACAGTAGTTCAATTCCTGCCAGGACTGTCATTTGCATCTTTTCCATTGACTGAGAAACCAGGAATCTTCAGCAGCAGCGGAGGTCGGCCTTCTCCGTTCGGGTCAGGTGGGTGATGGACACTACAGGACGACAGCGCGGCAGCCGTCGGGGGGGAGCGCGCCTGCGGCCGCAGGGAGAGCTGCCGACGGTTTCCACGCGGAGCGGCTTTCGCGCGCCGTCCCACCCCCCGGGGCACGTTCGTGGTGGCCGGAGCGTAAGACTCGCTCGCGAGGGAGCGACTCGGTGCAACGGGAGCGGTGCGTGGCGTTGCGGTTGGCTGCTCTCCCAAAGTGCAAACCAAAGTACCTTTCCACGTAAGGTGCTTGTCTGAGGAAGAGGTTTCAAATGCTACTGCTTTCAGTATTGCTTAGTGCCCCGAACATGTCTGGTGTGCCTTATGCCTTACTTTTAGATGAAGATTTTATGAACTGTTTACAAGATGTTCTACAGCAGGACCAGGTATACTGTATGCAGTGGTCTTCTGCAGTACTTGGGTAAAATTCCATTTCCTTTTTCAGAGCCCTAGTGTCTGTCACACAAGCCGACTTCTCATTGCGCTGGTCTCCTTTTGAAGAGTCAGACTCTGAATCCTTTGGAGTGAGATTGTGGAATGCTGCTTCGTTTTCTCTCCCGTTTAACCCTTTATTCTGTACCAGATATGAACGTGCATGTTCAGGAAAATGATTGCACTAAATTTTTTGTGTAGTTGTAGTGAAGTGCCAAAATCACGGCAACCTCGAGAGAAGGAATAGAATTCTACGCTCCTTAGTACTGCAGTATGTCCTATGGGCTTTAAGAGTTTAGAAATTTTGCAAATTAGTAACCTACTAAAAGGTAGCTGCATATTCGTAGAGCTTCCTTTCCGTTCCAGCGTGTTTTGTACTTCCAGAAAAGCTTTGCTACGTACGAATTGGTGAACAGACCGGTGACGTTTTCCGCGGTAGCCGAGTTTACCCGTCAGGTCTGTCGGAGCATCCTTTTTATTGAATCACTGTGCGAGGTCACGTTTCTGTTCGTGTTTGCTGTTGGAGACGGAGCTCCCTACCCTCAAACTCCGCATCTCGGTTGATGGGACACTGTCACCTGTTTTTCCCTTAATACTCTAAAGTGCCTAGCACACTTTTGACGCTATATAAAAAAATACCTTCGTAGAAGTTGCATTCGTAGTTTTATTTTGTGCGTAGCGCTGCACTAGCCAGCATGGCTGTTTTTTGGCTTGCTCCTTCGTGCACAGTCACCATTACTGCTTTTAATGGTCTCATCTCTGGGAATTTTTTTTCCTTAACTAGAGTCCCACAAATACCTTTTGGAGTCACGCTGAATTTGTCTCTTCAAAATGTATCGCTTATCCCTAGGCCAGTGGATCTTAAAAAAATTGTCTTCAGATGACCAGAAGACACTTTACATCGTGTCGAAACGTGGACCTGAGCTGGTTGCGAGTGTTCCCCCTCAGAGGAGGTCAACTTCATAGTAACCCACCCTCTCGCGTGCCGTCGCGGGTCCTCTGTCCATACTCGAGGTGTGTGGGGGTCTCGTAATGCCTCGCGCATCGGTGGCTGTTTCGGACAGCTACATTTAACCCTCACAATTCCAAAAGCAGATCTGAATTTGGGATTTACCGTTGTTGCCGAGAGAAGAGTTACGTACTTTGTCAGGTTCCATAGCTAAAAACCCTGCAAGTACACGACAGGCTCTGTCAGAGCGCGGGCGAAGGGGCTGGTCCCGTCCTCCCGCAGCGGGAGCGCGTGGCCCAGCCGTGCCGACGCAGGGCGGCGGGGGCATCCCCAGCTCCCGGCGTCCCCGGCGAGTCCCTCGACGATGGTCTGGTGAATGCGTATCAACGCCGTAACTCCAGTTCCCTCGCTGAACGCGGTCCCAGTTGGTGAATCTTAAAAATGGCTTAATCAGACTAGGCTTGCTCAGATATCAGTGCTGTTTGAATTTGCTTTTTAGACTTGCAGGTTCCTAGGTGGTAAGGTGCGACCATTTATATAATTATAAACAAATCTTCAGGAGTAACACAGCCCGAGACGTTTCTTTTGATTTGAAACTATTAGCCATAAAGCAGAGCACATGGGTGGCTCTTCTTGGCTTTTGATGGCAGTATGCAATTTGTATTGTATGTGTCTTTTAATATATATGTGTATATATATGAACTCAGTCTGTCCAAAGTATATGTTATACTTGTTTTTAGATTATGGTGCAACTGACTATAGTGATATATTATTTATTGAGTGCTGAATCGCCATCTTATTGGTGATAAATCTTGCATATTATACAGGAGTGCAATGTATATTCCTTTAGATTGCTGAGGCTCGATTGCTGTGATATCAAAAAAAAAAAAAGGCCCTGAAATGTATTTATGAATGGCCCCAACATACAGAGAGTCAGTACGTTAGGGAAATAACGTAGCGCTTGCCCGGGGCAAGTAAAGCAAAGCCGTCGGCGGATGGTTCTGTAGTTTGCCCAAATGGCAGCTGCTGGCAAGAGAGACTCCCTTTGCTGTATTTCATCTTCCATTTACCTAGCAGCTGTCTGCGGTCACTGCAGTGTTTGTAATAAGGCAGATACAAAAGGGCCTGAGCAAGTCAAGTTTGAATTACCCATTGGGGAGGAAACAACTTCCAGATTCTTGGATTTCTGACAAACACTTTGGTCAGGGTTGAAGTGACTCCATCTCGATGAACCGGTGGTACAGAAAACCCTGTGCTTCCGAGCGACAGAGTTCACGCAGACGTCTTCAGCTCCGCAGGGCACCCGGAGCTTTTCGTAGCCAACTCGGGCGAATCCAGAGCTGTCCCAGCAGACAGAGCCCCTAAGCAGGCAGGTGAGGTGAGCCCGCGCCGTCAGCGGCTCGTGACGCTTCCCC